ATTAAATAGCCAAATGAATGATTAAATAGCTATGTAAATCATTAGATAGCTATAGCAACTTTAAATAGCTACAAGATCTTTAGATAGCTATGATAGCATTAAATAGCTATGCAAATCATTAAATAGCTGTGCAAATATTTAAATAGCTATAGCAAGTTTAAATAGCTCCAAGATCTTTAGATAGCTATGATAGCATTAAATAGCCAAATGAATGATTAAATAGCTATGTAAATCATTAGATAGCTATAGCAAGTTTAAATAGCTACAAGATCTTTAGATAGCTATGATAAGATTAAATAGGCAAGTAAATGATTAAATTGCCATGCAAATAATTAAATAGCTATAGCAACTTCAAAATAGCTACAAGATCGTTAGATAGCTATGATAGCACTAAATAGCTATACAAATCTTTAAATAGCTATCGCAAGTTTAAATAGCTGCAAGATCATTAGATAGCTACGATAGGATTAAATAGCCATGCAAATCATTAAATAGCTGTGCAAATCTTTAAATAGTTGTAGCAAGTTTAAATAGGTGCAAGATCTTTAGATAGCTATGATAGCATTAAATAGTCAAGTCAAAGATTAAATAGCTATGGAAATCATTAAATAGCTACAGCAACTTTAAATAGCTACAAGATCTTTAGATAGCTATGATAGCATTAAATAGTCACGTCAAAGATTAAATAGCTATGCAAATTATTAAATAGCTATAGCAACTTTAAATAGCTACAAGATCTTTAGATAGCTATGATAGCATTAAATAGCTGTGCAAACCTTTAAATAGTTATAGCAACTTTAAATAGCTGCAAGATCTTTAGATAGCTATGATAGCATTAAATAGGTATGCAAATCTTTAAAGAGTTGTAGCAAGTTTAAATAGCTACAAGATCTTTAGATAGCTATGATAGGATTAAATAGTCATGTAAATCATTAAATAGCTGTGCAAATCTTTAAGTAGTTGTAGCAAGTTTAAATAGGTGCAAGATCTTTAGATAGCTATGATAGCATTAAATAGTCAAGTCAAAGATTAAATAGCTATGGAAATTATTAAATAGCTATAGCAACTTTAAATAGCTGCAAGATCTTTAGATAGCTATGATAGCATTGAATAGCCATGTAAATGATTAAATAGTTGTGCAAGTCATTAGATAGCTAAAGCAATTTTAAATAGCTATAGGATCTTTAAATAGCTGTGATAAGATTAAATAGTCATAGCAACATTAAATAGCTAGAAGATCTCTAGATAGCTATGATAAGTTCAAATAGCCATGTGAAAGACTAAATAGCTATACAAATGGTTGAATAGCTATGGAAGCCTTTAAATAGCTATGGCACGGTTAAATAGCTACAAGATCTTTAGGTCACTATGACAGTATTAAATAGCTATGACAATGATTAGTAGTTAGACTAGGAAATCATTGAACAAGTGTCTTCGAAGTCATTTGATGCTAACTATACACAAAAAGAAATTGTATCTCTTTTGAGAATGAGCACAGCTATTGTTGTCGCTCGTACAAATAACGCGTATATTATTCAGTATATCTCATGACACTTGAGTTTTTTTTGTTTTGTTTTGTTTTTTAGATACGATGGCAAGAAAAAACGTTCTTTTACGGCATAGAGAATGAATCCTATTACTACATTTCTCAAAGATAATTGAATCACTTTTACTTACATTTAATGATGTAATAAAATGTTGATTTGACTTCGCATATATTTTTTCACATTACTGAGATATTTTTATTTATTTTTTTATTATTTTTGTGTTTGAACTTTGATGATTTCATTTATTTTGTAGAAAATATCATCCTTAGTGATTACATTTTCTAACGATTCGAAGCTATGAATGAATCAATATTAAATCATTTGTTCCTTCCACATTATCTACCATCGTCTGCCGACGATGATTTTTTAATTAAATCCAATCATCAACATGAATATATGATATTAGAATATATGAAAGAATATTTGAATCTGTTTGAATCAACAAATGATACGAATAAATTGTCAATATTTTCAGTGCTCATTAGTTGTGTTAAACATTGGTCTATTTTACAAAATCCTCAAACTTTTACCGAAGCGAATTTACAATCCATTATTACGCAATTAACTCCAGGAAGTTTTCTTCCACTCTATTTCCATGCTCAGAATGCTGCAATTCTAATTGAAATTGAAGAAAACAATATTCACCAACCATTAATTTCATCTTGGCAAGTCTTATTACCAACTGCAGAAATTACTTCTTCTCTTGTTCCTCATCTCTCTTGTTTTCCAGTGACAACATACAGATTAAATGATCGATCTCACTTGAGCTCCCAAGTTCATTGTGAATTGTTGATGGATTTTATGTATAACACCATTGAATATTCCAAATCTTATAAAGCTTATCGGCAAGTAGATGAAATACGTGATGTACCAGAATCACATTATGTATGTCAATGGTGGATTCAACAATTTCAAGGAATTAAAATAGAAAACAATTCTAATCTTTCTATCCAATTTAAGAAAAAACATCGTGATCAGATCAGATGGAATAATGCCCAGATACCTTTTCGACGTTCTGGCTTATGGATGACTATCAAAGTAGTATTTCATATTATTCTCTCTAAACGTTTGGGACACATTAGTACCGTTATTTATAAATTGTTCATTACTCATTTTCTTGTATATGTTATTTGCAAAGCAGATCCTAATATATCTACTGATTTATTAGTTCATTGTATTCGAAAAATTGTACGAAGAGTAAATAAAATTGAACATTTGTTATTGTCTATTGATGTAAATGATGTGAATGAATGGGTACAGAATATGAAATATGAAATACAAATGAAAATTAATCAAGTTCTTCCAAAACCAGAATGGCAAAATTCCATTCAAGTCAATGGAGAAACAAAATACCAATTATTTATGAAGAACTTCAGATTGAATGATTTTGACATATACAAGCATTCCTATCATGAATTAAATGCTTATCTGAATAATCAAAACTTGAGTCAAACATTCGATTTTTTTCCAGGTTCTAATAATTATGATGAATTCAGTCACGTTAATCAAGATGATGACATACCGTCGATTAAAGAGTTTACGGAAAAATTTAATTATACTATTGGGATAGCCTTGACTCGTATAGAATTTTGAGTTGAATCACGTTTAAATCAATGGATTAATCGTCCCACAATATCTCATAGTGAAAAAAATCGCTTCGAAACTTTATTACACTTGTTTGAAGACTATCAAAGTGCAGCACTAAACCATTATTATTCAGCTAAAGGTTCAACAGATCCAATAGGTTATAGTCGATTTATATTAACATCTTTAACAATCATTCGCTCAATGAATCAAAAATTATGTAACGATCCAAGATTTGAACGACTGAAACAACATTCAATTTATATTCCTAATCTTATGAGCCTATTTCAATTTTTGGTCTTGCCGAATCGAGATGATATGATTCGAGTTCGTGATCTCTGCGATTATTTCCATGAATTTAGTAATAAATCATATCCCGATCTTTTAACAAATATAGATTGTGCCAATGCATTTGGTGTTTATTATGCTTCTGAGTCATCGACAATGAACGACAGTATAAAGAAAATTAGAGCTCAAGCTGAAACGGATAAACAACAGAAAATACTGGAAGTCAACAATGCGAAAGAAAGATACGCACGCCTTACGAATTCAATAGTCGACCTTTCTTGTTCTTGTGGTTATGACTATGATCATCGCTATTATAGGACATGCGACAAATGTCAAATTAAACAAGAAGCGCAAAGCATTAAAGTAGAGATTTACGAGTGTCCATTACCATCCAAACACGAACAAGCACTGGCTGTTATTTTTGAATTACAAATGCCCATTGAAATTCGAAGTTATCGTGATATCATCTGGCAATTTGTAAATCGACCAAAACCACACCCAGAACATCAAATGTATGAATGGTTAAGTGTTCTTCCTCATACCAGAAAGTTAGGACCATACTATACAGGTCCAAGCGATTGTAAAGTGAAAGTAGTATCATCCACTTCACCAGTAACCCAAACTCACTATTCTTGTCCACCTTCCATTGAAATCGCATCCATCAGTGACTTTTTATTCGAAAATAGTTTGAAGGCTCAAATTTCACCCACACAACCAATTGAATTCAAGGATGAATGTCGTATATTAACACCTCAACTTAATCATCCTGATTACAAACAATTACAATTTACGATAGATACCACACAATTCGAACAAAATCATGTCATTGCTAAACTATCGGATTGCTCGGCATGCCTAAAACCTACCCAATTTGTTGAATTTGGTTCATTTCGATCAGGTCATCGTTTACAATGGTGGAACTTGTTAGCGATGCTTGAAATGGATTCGTTGCCTATAGCTGAAGAAAGTGTAACAGTACTGATCACACATTCAATATTGCAACATGGCCCATTGAAAATAGATCAACGTTCACCCTGTAATAACTGATGTTCGGAAACTCATGAGCAATTATTAGAAGATCATTTTATTGATGAACTGGTTACAAGATTAGATCATCGTTTAGATGATTGTGAATTAAATTGGCAAAACGAATTGGTATTAGTAGTAGTTACAATGATTACTATGAGAATGTTAACTATTTGTAATTCAACACGAGAAGATAAAGTTGCTAATTTAGCAATAAAATGTCGTAGAATTGGTGAAAAATGGATTGATCTTATTTCAGAAACTATTCAATCTATGTATTCTTTAGCTTTTAATGAAGCGGAAAATCTCCGTTTAAAAATGGCAACTATTGGTATCTCATGTACATTAACATTTTCAACTCATTCAGATCGAATACACTGTTTATTATCATCGAATGAACATGTCGTATCTCTACTAAAAGCGGCAACTACTATTCATGATAATATAATTCTAAACAAGACTCAATCTAATATAAGTACATTTATAATAAATCTTATGAGATTTAGCGAACGTACATTAGTGATGGTACAGCCAATCATCGCCGAATTTCTTCAAAAAACTTCCTATCAAAGTTTAAATAATTTCGCTGCAATCTATTGGGCTGTCATTAGAAGCAAAGGTACTATGAATGGACAATGGCAAAAACGAACAAAAGATGTTTATGATGGTTGGTATGATTGTCGATATGAGTCAAGATATATATCAATTAATTGTATCAAAGGAACCTTTTTAATCGATAACATGACCATAGGATTTTTATCTGAAAACATTACAACTAATGAATTATTTCTACGTGTATTTGGTAATCATATATTTGAAGTACAATTAGCTGAATCACCTAAAACTTATATTACTAAACATTCCTATCATGGTAATGGAAAAGTTCAATATGAATTTCATCTGAATGATCAAACCAAGAACTTAATAATTACTGAACGACATATAATGACAAATGAGACATTTCAATTGATTCCCCATAGTCATTTCCAGACAGAACTGCCCGATACTTTCGTCTCCAGATACAGTCATTGGCTAAATACAAGAAGCCAAATAGTCGAATTTCGACCTATTCATTTTAAAGAAGCTGATTTTTTAGATTATAAACCTTATGTTCTATCATTAACAACGGGATATATTGTTACTACCGATATAAATAATGAACAAAAATTAGTTAATCAATCATCGACATTGTTTGAAACTTTATTTACTCAATACTTTGTACGTTTGGATAACAAGCCCTATGTTTATATGATGAGCGAATGCAGTTCTCAATCTGATATTATTATTCATATCCATTTATCTCGTTTAGGAATTGCTTTTAAATACAATGCTACAACAAATATCATAACGTCTCGTGAATATTCAGATATGTGCATCGATCAAGATCAATGGTTAGGAACATTAACGGGTTTGACATCTGGTCTTCTTTTATCACCATTACCAGTCAATCATTGCAGATTGGATCATTATCCATATAAAAAATTGATTGTACCTTTTGGCACGATTCTATGCGCAAGAAATCAGTACAACACTCATCAAACTGTTACCGTACAGCGACCTTCTTCAATGTTGTTCTCTCATCAATACTTTGTTTTTATTCTCAACAATCGTTTAAAAATACTTCAATCGACAGATAGTCCTACCGGATGGCTTTATTTAGCATTGTTACATGCAATGACGTCTCATCCTTTACCAGATCACTATACTGGAATGACTGGAATGGAACGAGCCTTTCAATTATTATATTCAGCTGGTTGTTGGTCGGATGAACCATTTGATGAACTATCTTTAAATATTCTTGGGCGAATTGCATCTATTTCACCCAAAGTCAACTATTATCCCGGATATCTCACTTGTATGGAAAAAATAGACTGGAATTCAAATGGTCTACCCTATTCGATGCAACATTTTGGTTATTATTTAATAGCAAAAAAACTAATCGACAGTAGTCAACTATTCAATTTTATGTATCCATCACTGATGTCAAATGAGACGCCGAAACTATTTGAAGGAAAAATATACAATGAAATGTTATTGAAAAAACTATATTGCGACTATCGAGATTCATATAATCCAACAGCTAGATTATCTACAGAGATGGAGGCTGACATATTGGATACTGGCTCAGTGACATTATATCATCCGGCTTCGGAATATTGTTCGCATATCACTAACTACAGTGCTGTTCGTCTTGTAGACGATCTATATAATAATGGAGATGTAGATCTTAGAGACTGTTCGAAACAGCATTGGTTACCCTTGTCTCAATGGCTGGCTGTTCAAAATGATTTGAAAAATATTTGGATTGGTTTATTAGAATTGGCTAACCGTATTAAAACAGAAGCAGATGGGAAGAATACAGACGACATTCAACGATTCGAAGGCTTAATAAAATTTCTTCATTATATCTCCGGCAAACGTAAAACCAAACCATTTTATTTGCAAATGTTAAAGACAGCATTGAAGGCTCCCACCATATCGTTAACATCCATTGAATTTCCTCGTTTTATTTCCTATGAGAATATTGAAGAAGTTTCGGTGCTAAAGGAGAATGTCGATTTTATCAGTGATCTTACTTCACGTCAAAAAAACACAATTATTAGAGGTATGAAATACTGTTTCGCAAATGAAGATAATTTCGAAGATCACAACAATCTACTATCTCGTCGAAGAGTAACTAAAATCAACAGGTTATTGAAATCATGGAGATCTAATCAAAAACTTCAATTGTTTTTAAACTCAGTTCAAACTTGTATCTGTTCTGTTCCGATAGAACAATTTGATACTAAAGTATCTTATAATCCTCAGCAGTTTACACTTGAATCATGCAATGATCATTATCAAATACGAATCAAAACTACAGATAAATCAATCGACCCAACACTTTTACGAAACGCAGAACAAAAATTTCATCATCTTAATTTACATCCTTTTAATAAACCAACTAAATCTATTCAAACCACTAATCAACTAAAGGAATTTTCACAGGGAATTTTTCCTTCTATCGACAATCAAAATAATCCTCCAAGTGAAATTACTAATTATTTTAAAAAACAATTATCTGAAAGTTGGAACAAACTTCTATCCGACACTGAATATGAAAAAGAATATCCTTCTATTGAAGAAATGACTCAACTTCTCAATTTATTTCGAGGCGAAACCACACACTTATGGAATGAGTTATTCAAATCTATTACAGTATTCAATGAACAATTATTTAAAACAGGTCTAGCTTTACGAATCATGCCAACAACTCTCATACCTCTACTTCAAGAAAAAGATTCACATCTGAAAAAATCTTTTTCATTTGAATTGACTAAGAATCAGTACACATTACTCGGTGGTATTATTGTCAATTGGACATTAGAACAACAAATGGAACGAAGTTTATATTTCGCCATTCATGAAAAATATGAAGATTTTAAAAAAGAAATATCGCAAATACCACATTCGAATTGGAAACCGTCTGAACATATTTCTTGGCTAATCTTAGAATTAGAAATGAATATAACTATTCGAGAAATTCAAATAAAAGTAGCAAATCATATGATACAACCAAATATGAAAACAGATGATTCAACAGTACAAAGTATAGTGATGCAAATGAATATGGGTGAAGGAAAAACGTCAGTTATTTTACCAATGTTAGCTGTTAATTTATCTTCATCTAATTCCAGTTTAGTTCGTATTATAGTACTTAAATCATTATTTTCGACCAATTATCAATCATTACGTTATAAATTAGGTGGTTTACTTAATCGGCGTATATTTCCACTTGCTTGTCGTCGTGACATGAATTTTAATGATCAACAAATTAATCAGATTTTGAAACGCTTTGAACAAGGATTACGTAATTGTGATATTATATTAACTTCACCGGAAGATATCCTTTCGTTTGATTTACTAACTATTGATAAATGTCGACGAAATGAATTCGATGTTGGTCGTTCTATGTTAACAGTTCAACGATGGTTAAAAACCTATGCTCGTGATGTATTAGATGAATCTGATGAAATTTTACATGTTAAATATCAATTAATTTATACTGTTGGTGGTCAACAACAAGTCGATGGAGGTGTAGAACGATGGAAAACCATTCAATCAATTCTTCACTTAGTCAAAAAACATGCTGAAGATATATCAAAAACTTTCAAGGAAGAAACTTGCTATAAATCGCCTGAACGAAAAAGTGCTTTTCCACAATTTCGACTACAATCCCATGAACCATTTCCATTACTCTGTCAAAAAATTGCAAATGATTGGATTGATAGCAGAAACTATCGTTATATAGATAAGGCTACTATTTTATCGTTTATTTTAGAACCATATTCATCAATTGAACATCTCATTAATAAGTTTCTACGTCTTGATATTCAATTATTTCTCATTGTTCGTGGTTTATTGTCATCCGAAGTATTGTTAGTTGCTTTAAAAAAACGATATCGAGTTAATTATGGCATCAATCCAAGTCTTACTTTTAATCGTTTAATGGCTGTACCATTTCGTGCTAAAGATGTTGTATCTGATCAAACTGAATTTGGTCATCCAGATGTTGCCTTAGTATTAACACATCTCTCCTATTATTATTCAGGTTTAAATGATCTACAGTTATCTCAATGTTTTGATCGTTTAAATCAATCAGAAACGGTTCCTGCATCGATTTATGATCAATGGATTTTATTTGAAGATGAAAATGGCATACCAACTGCTATCAAACAATGGAATGGAGTTAATTTACAAGATTATGAACAACGAACTCGTTATCTGTTTCCTACTTTTCGATATAATATATTAACTATTAATTATTTTCTAGATTATTTTGTATTTCCCCGAGAAGCAAAACAATTTCCAAATAAAATAGTTTCTTCAGCATGGGATTTATCATCATCATTACGATCAAAAATTATTACTGGATTCAGTGGAACGAATGATACACAATTATTACTTCCTGTTCATATTCGTCAATATGATTTAGCAGAACTTCAAAAAACAGATGCAATTGTTGTTAATAATTTATTACAACCTGAAAATGAAAAATATCAATCTTTAATCATGAATAGCACATCAGAAAATATTTTAAAACAAATTATCAGCTACAAAGAAACTATTAATGTCATTTTAGATGTTGGAGCATTATTCATTGACAGAACCAATCGAGAAATTGCTATTAAGTGGTTAAATCTATCTGATAAAAACAAGATCGATTATGTTGTTTATTTTGATAATGATTCAATCGTTGTTTGTGATCGTCAATATTATCATTGTCCATTTATAAGATCACCTGCAAGTGAACGATTGGATTATTGTATATTTTATTTAGATGAAATTCATACTCGAGGAACTGATTTTAAATTTCCGGTAGGTTTTAAAGCCGCTGTAACATTAGGAAATAGTTTAACAAAAGATCGATTTGTTCAAGCATGTATGAGAATGAGAAAATTAGGAAATGGTCATTCATTAACATTTTGGAGTTCACATGAAGTTCATCAACAAATTAAAACATTGAAACATAATTCACTTATTATCAAACATAAAAGAAAAAAAAGCGATGGATTGATCAATTTGATTGACATCCTTCGATGGGTCTATGAAAATACTCAACAAGCAACTTGGGATGGATTACATCATTGGGCTGCTCAAAGTTTAAGCTTTCAACGAAAAATGTCTGCATTTCGACATATTCAATGGAATAATCAACAGCAATCGTTTACCAATACGATCATGGAAGAATTGGCTAAAGAATGTTTAGAACCTGAAATTATTGAACTAATACATATGTATGGTGCTTCGAAAAAACTTCAAACAGTATTCGAAATATATTATGCTCGACATCAACAGATTAATCATTATTTATTTCAAGAAATTGAAAATGCAGTATTACAACGATTACAAGATTATGGTGGAACAAAACAACGTTTATCACAATTGCTAGATGAAGAACAACAAAGAGAATTAGAACAAGAATTAGAAGAAGAACGTCAATTAGAACGTCCTTTACCTGCCGTTCCATGTGAACCTACTCTACACGAGGAAATTAAACGTTTGTGCGATATGAATAGTAATATTATGAATTTAAAACAATATCCTAATGTATTTCGTCAGTTACCCTATGCTTTCGCAGATACAACATTTTTTAATGATTGTCAATCTGAGCATTGGGAAAAAAATTTTTGGATTTCCACTGAATTTCAACGTGTTATTAAGACTAAAGGAGAATCATTAAATCCATTTTTACGTCCTCCACGATGGATACTAGTATACCGAAACAAACACTTAATTTTTCTCAGTGCTCTTGAAGCCAATTGGTTGATAGGTCGTTTAAACTTTCTTTATCATGAACGACAATTCAACAGCCCATCGATGACTACATTACGTTTACTATTACCTCGTATTAAACGAATTCAATCAGTCTTTGTGAATACTCCAACTCTTACAATTCCTCCGTTACTTGGACATTCCAATGACGCTGTTACTTTCTTCATACCACTCGAATGGTTGGTTCAGTTATTTATCTTTAATGGTACTCTTTATTTTGAAACGGTTGATGAACAAACAGTATATTGTCAATGTTTAAGTTTATGTCCCAAACCTCGAACGAAAAAAGAAGAAAAAGCCTTTGAAAAAGGTTGGATTGATGTTGATGGCTTTGTCAGTAATACTGTACATCGTCATACATTAAAAATATGTCAAGTTCGCTTTCCTCTCAATCTACTAACATTTGTCAAACAGATCACTGAAAATCGAAATAATTCACAAGTATCCATATCATCACATGTTGGTAGTATTATTCTTAATTCACTCAAACTTATTTAATCCTGAAAACATTGAACGCACTATAAAAATATTTAATTCAGAGACAAATCCTTTTTTATTCATAATTTTAATTAAATTTTATTAAGAGTGTGAATGTGTGTTGCTTGTGGGTATGTGTCTTGCTTTCTTTCATATCCACCCCCATTGAAACATTGCCATAAATTCTTTGTGTGACCGAGCTTTACAATAAAAAATATGATATCGATCTAATCTACACATTTTTCGCATCCGTTTTTTATGATATTTTATTCAAAATGAAAAGCGACGTCAAATATTTCAAGAAAAACCTCTGAATTTAAGGTCTTCCTTTCAGGGTCTGTGTGTGGGTCGTTGTGTTTTCCTCACACCCATACTGTTACATTCGAACAAAGAAATTATTTCAAAAGCAAAAATTGATTATTACAATCGGCCAATGTAACCCTATTAAAAATTAGTATCAGATGATACTAGATATGAGTCGTCAGTATTCATAATGAATAGGTAGACAAATCCAGCGAATGTGTTTCGTGCGAGAGTTGTCGAAATATCAAAGGACAGCTCAAACAAGACAAAAAATGGTGTGGGTGTGGGTGGGGTTGTGTGTGGGTGTGTGGGTGTAGGTGGATGTAGGTGTGGGTGTGGGGTGTGAGTGTGGATGTGGGTGTGGGTGTGGGTGTGGAGTGGGTGTGGGTATGGGGTGTGAGGTATGGGGTGTGGGTACGGGTGGGTGAGTGTGGGTGAGTGTGGGTATTCTTTCAGTCTACACCCACACACTTACACCCGCACACCCATACTCACACCGATACACGCACACCCACACCCCACATCCACACCCACATTCACCCACACCCACATATGAAACTCGTAAGAGAAAACATCTTTAAATACTAGTTACAACCCATCGTTTATTGTCTCCACTAATAAAATCGATGATACCAATATTGGTCGTGCCATGAACAGATAGTGCTCGCCACCAAGCAGAGCGTGGCCTGATACGGAATAAGTTTTTTCCATACGATGAGAATACCCATTCCTGATTGACATCAAATAGCCAATTGTTTGTTTTCACTTCACCAATAGATGCCATTGTATTATAGGTACTAAGAGCGTGAACACTAGTACTAACTGGTGATAACCGATAAGTTCCATGATCTAGCCAAGTAATCGTCCATTTTTTATTTGGAGTATTGCAACCATCATCGTAGAGCTGAATAACACTACTGGTAATATTGTTGTCATAAACTCCAAGACATTTGTTTGGTTGAGATTCTGGCGAGAGACGATAGTTCCCATTGGGTAAAACACGAGCTAGTTCTTCTTGCATTTGCCAATAAGCTGATTTGGGTTGATAATTCCAATCAGTAGGTAAAGCAGCTCCTTCAGTACCATTATAAAAAGCTGGCACCCAACTATATCGATCAGTAAAACCCCATGTAATCAAAGCACGACATTTTGGAGAAAAGTGTAACACATATTTTAAGAGAGATCGATAAAGACGACCCTGCTTTTCCACGTCATTAGGATCTCGAGGATTTCCACCATTGATTGGAATAGCTATATCAAGTTCAGTGACCATAAATTCGAACCCATTGTCAATTAATCGTTGCGCATTTTGATAATGTTGATCAGCAGACTTGACGTTTTTCGATACTCGTATGTGCCATTGCATACCGATTCCATGAACAGTTGCTCCCTGTGATCTGACCCATTTAAGCAATTCAAGTCCTCGAGTTGCTTTTGTTCCCATATCTTCATTGTTGTAATCATTATAATATAATTTTGCTTGAGGATCAGCTTGTTGAGCAAAGATAAAAGCATATTTAATGAAATCTTGACCTAATTTTCGATACCAAAAACTGTCTCGCAAGTTAAATGGACGACTATTATTTTTCGAATCATCAATGGCCTCATTGACCACGTCCCACCATGGAACTTTTCCACGATAACGACCAACAACAGCATGAATATAATCATGCATCAACGATTTGACTTTTTCTGATGACATCGATGATTCTTGTTTCAACAACCAACCGGGAATATTTTTATCATTTGCCCATACAAGAGTATGACCTCGGATTTGCATTCCATTCTGCTGAGCCCAACCTGTAGAGTTTGTAGTAGCCCCTAGGAGCCAATCACAGTCGCTCCAGCTATAATTGTTTATACCATGCCATAACTTCATAGGTTTGAAATCATTTTCTGGTTCAATGACGTGATAGTTCTTTTTAATAAACGAGTTGTATTGACCACCATCAACGTCTTTTCGTAGATTATTTATACTGGCTGCTGTACCGAACAGTATACCACGAAGAGCGGAAGATGCTCGAAGACCCAATGGATTTTGTGCTTCGACAACAATATTGATCGCCAAGCACAACCAAAATAATAACCTCCACTCTCTTATCATTAGTAATGAAATGAAAGAAAATGGTTATTTTCATCAATCGACGCGAGAAAATAAGAGAGATGAAAAATTTGATGCAGTTTCATATCAGTCAAGGTAAAATGAAGGATTAGCACTA